TTTAAAGGGATAGTTCACCTAAAAAAGGAAGATATTTTGTTCATTGTTGTTTGGAGTCCAACATTCTGTGAAATACCTTTTATGTGTTTGACAGAAGTATGAAATGCATACAGGTTTGGAACGACATGAGGGTTAGTGAATGATGAAAGAATTTGAAATATCCCTTTAATAATACTATCACATTAATTTTGTCACAGGTTTCTGTAACAGCATCCGTGCAGTTTTTTCCCCCCTAATTATCATAAAGTGACAGAATACTTAACCTGACATCACATGAAAACAAAGGGCTGTCAAATCGATTAATCATGATTAATCGCATCCTAAAAAAAGGTTGTGTTTACATAATGTGTGTGCATTGTATCGGCGCCGATATTAATCATTTTTATGATTATCGTATTGGTCATTTTCAAAACCGATTTGCCGATAAAATAATTTAATTTTGAAACAAGCTATTTGTCTCTGATGCAGCCTGTCGGAACTCACCACTCTGTGGCCTAGAGCAATCTCCACCCACCACCCATCTGATTTGTTGGGAGTCACGAGTCCGACCAATCAACGTGGAAGGCTAAAGGCACTGAAAGCTTTGCACTCTCACACCGAAAGCGCTTGCTAACTGGAGCTGCTTCAGTGATCACGCATCAGTTGTCTCTCTAAGGCAGCAGCAGACGTTGCTGAAGTTGCAATAAATCACAATCCACTACACTGAAGTTGCAAAACACCTCAATATTATCTATTTATGGTTTCCGCGATGGGGAAAACGCGGACGGAACCGTGGAATCCAGTCATATAAATGTAATAATGTGGAATGTCACGGAATTTGTCAAAGTTTGGATGAATTAATCAAAAGTAGGTCAGTACACTTAAATCGACTCGTGCTATGGACTAGTATCTGTAAATATTGAGCCGCAAAAAGACTATTTAAATATGAATCCTGCATATTCTGCATCTCTGTATATGTGAATGGCACAGACGCGTGGTTTTGTTTACTACACATACTGAAGTGCGTGACGCTTGCGGTGTTTTCAGCATCTGCCGTCTCACTAAATGAGTACATAAAAACATGAACAACATCCCCAGAACTGCTCTGAGAGTTACTTCATTAGCATTTGACCGTTTCATTTGAGTAAAACTGTCGTCATGTCATATACATAGGCTACAGAAACTTGAGCATACCAGGTTGATTATGAACATGAAATTATCCAGC